GAGCCTTAATTAACTTATTTATGTCAAAAATACAAAAAAAATGTATACAAATTCATTTTTTTCACGCCTAAAGAGCTAAAAAACGAATAGAGCCACCCTATAGAGCGACCCATTTCTTTTAACAAATGTATGAGTTTGTACTTGAAATTAATGTTGACTCGATGAATATACTATTTGAACAAATTTTTATATTTACATATTGAAATGATATATTTTTTTAAACTAATTAAATAGCTAAATTTATTATTATGATATTTAAGTAAAGGCATGTGTTATTTTCCTCTAATTGTCATCATTTTATATACACCAAGGTATTCGCGCACTTCATCTCCATTTATAATACAAATGTCTTACTGTTAAACGACTTCAGCATTAGAGTATCATACATCGCAATTTGGATCCAAGCACATCTTGTCTTACTATTAATTTGAGTAATTTGCAACTCTAATCGAGCTTTGGATTGAAAGAAAACTAAACTGGGCTACAATGAAGAACTAATAATTTGGGCCTAGTTAAAAGATGGCCCGCCCAAGTCCAAATCAAGAAAAGTCGGTGTTTCAACCTCCATCAAAGCCCACCAAAAGCCTGTATCAGATCAAGAATCACATTGACTTTTTGTGATAACAAATTATTGACTATTTGCAGAAAATATATTACAAAATTGGCTGGCCTTGCATGTTGCCATGTGGATCTCCCTTTTGTTTCTTGACGATGACTAATTAGAAAATTAGGGAATATATAATATAACATACATCTTCATGGATTGGCCAGCTCAACACGGATGATTTAATCCAACCTGCAATTATATTTAATCGTTAGCATTTACCCACACTCATATACCCGTATTTATCTATACATATTGATCCAATTTTATAATAGTGCTTTAATTAATTGGTAAGGTTGAATTTTTCGCTCAACACGCTTAACTCGATCCAATTCAAGTAAACGGGATTATTATGGTTAATTTTTACCACAGTATATTTATTCAATATAACTAACATGCTCATGTAACGTATTATATGAAACTCGACTAGAGATACAAAGTGATATATCATAGGCATATAGTTTTCCCTATTAAGTTTTACTAAGAAAAAAGCAATTGAGATCCTTAATGGTATTGAAGGGTAAGGGTGTGCTTGGATATAAGTTTGTGATTGGATATTTTGGTTTTGATTGAATTTTTTGGTTGACCATAATTACTTTTGAAAAATTTAATTGAGTTAGGTTTTAGTGACATTTTGAATTTTTATTAAAATAATATTTAATCTGGACATTTAGATTGGATATATATTATCTATTTTTTGTGTTTGCTTGTTTGTCCATGAAAACATATGGATTAAAAATTAAAATAAGTAGTTTGGTGTCAAGAGTCAAGTTTGAGTTGTTGTTTGTTCGCACATGCAATTAGTTTTTCTGTCTATTAATCCACGAACCACGCGTTATGCAATCTTTACGCCGAATAATATGATCACATTTTTTAATACTTTACAAAAAACATCTCAACAATTTAAATAATTTTTGGGAATAAGGTTCTCATCGCTGACTTCCAGTTTATAACGTTACAAATCTGACAAACTGTTTATGTATATAGACAGGTTATTTATTTAGGCCAAATTAATAGAGTACATCATTTATGCTATTATCCCTACTAATTAAGCTCTTAATTAAGCTTTTACTCATTTATGGACAAACACAAATGAAATACAGCACACACTACATACTTATTTGTTTGTTCTTCCTTTTTTTCAGTTTTGCTGTTTGGGTAATAAATTATTAATGATCAAAACTCGAGGTTGCTTATTGCTGTCAATAATTAAAAACCCGCACGTACTTCAACTTTGTAACGTTGAACTCTTGAACTGACAAACTCTGACTAATTGCTATTTTTATTTTTTTACTTCAAATTTTGGCATCGTCAATTAGGAAATTAATTCATTAACTAGGTCGCATAATGAGTGGCGAATAATTGCTAGAAATGCATGTATTTCATTTATTTTTTTCTTAATGGGAACCACATTTTAATTTTTCCTCCGTCGAAGAAGATTATGTTTTTTTTTGTTTTTTTTTTTAATTTTTTTCGAAATGATAGAGAATTTTGTATATGAAAACGCACAATATGTACAAATATACAACCCCTAGCTGAATATTACAACCAACACATGAAAAAGAATAATAGGCACACAGAAGTCAAGGATTCAAACAAAAAACACGAATCGTAAACAAACAACTAAACAAAGACCACACAAAAACAAAACAAGAGAGAAATCGAGCCCTTCCACAGTAGATCAACCGAGCCGAGCCAACGGCGAAACAGTCGATCCCAAAGAAACTTGGCTGCCCCAGGTACAATTCCCAAAACTGCCAGAACCGAACTCGAGCCACGAACCGATCTCGAAACCAACTCGGACTCCTGCCGGAGAACACCAACCTCGCCCTCACACACCATTGTTTCGACACCGACTAACACCACTAGCCACGGCCGCCGCAACGCCCTCGAACAGATCCCACACCAGAATCCGAGAGGGAAAGGGGGTAAAAGAGGCGCTTCTGTCCGGGCAGCCCCATCGGGAACAACGCGAGCACCCGAGCCACGGCCGGCCTCCGATGCGACCAACCGCCTAGTACCACCGTAGCACCAAGGAGGTGAACGGCCTTAGCCATGAACCGGCGCCAGAAGCGGCAAAACTAACCGCGAAAACCCACTGGCTACCACCGGAACTAGGCGTACTCGAATAGGCATCTGGACCAAGGCCATGCGGTAAGAGTCGACCTCCAGCAATAGGTCCGGCTGCCGCTGAGGAAGGCAATCGGAAGAAGGAAAGGAGAGCGTGGTGGCGGATGAGCGGGAGGAAAAGAGAAAGGAAATTAAGGGTTGGTACGTAGTAACTAGAGATGGGATTTTTTTTTATTATGCTTGCTTGAATAATGGATTATATTAAAAAAAAAAGAATTAAAATATAAATCATTGCCATTTTTTTCTGTCTTTGAAAAAAAAAAATTGATCGTTGGAAGGTGATAGCATATCTATTCCATCATAATTAGCTCCTTAATCAACATTCTTTGCTCAAGATTGTTCAATCAATTTCAGATACGACACAATAAATAGTAGACTTTTCTGATCATGTTGTGAGGAATTAGTTTCATATTTCTTATGCATTCTATTTTCTTGATTATAATACTAGTACAACACCCGTGTATTACAAGAGTACTTAAATATATTATTATTTGTACAATAAAATTAAAATAATTTATATTTTTATTATGAAATTATATATGATGAATATGCAATAATAACAAATAACTAACAAAGTAATAATTAATTCAAATAGTGCCCATATTTTTACACTAAATTTGTCAAAATAGATATATTTTACTTTATTTTTAATATTATATATGTATAAAACTGATATTATTTACAACTCTATATATTTGATTTGTTTTTTGAACAAAATAAGTTTAATTGTTTTGTAATTATATTTTATATTTATAGAGTTAGTGTCTCACGTCTATTAATTTTTCAAGTATTTTAAATTTAGAATTTACATAGAAATATATTATTTTTCAACTTTATGAAATACAAAATTATTTTATTATTTTTAATTATAATATTTTTTTATATTTATTATTCTAAACAACATAATAACATTCAGTTTTTTATATGATCTATTTAAATTGAGAAATAGTATTTTATATTTCTTAAAATTTATTTTATGTAATACTTAATTTTTATTTTTTCCAAAATTTATGGAAAATGCAATAAAATTATTATTTTATGGTGTATTAGTGAATTAGATTTTTATTATTTTTATAAAATAATTTATATTGTTATTTGATGTATTTTAAATTTATTTGATAATAAGACTAATTATATTATAAATATAGATGACATTATTTTTTATTTTATATAAGTAATATGGATGTCAACTAAAAAATTGTTAAATTATGATTATTTGGGTAGATCATATATACAAAATAAAATACAAATAAAAAGTTATAAAGTTTTAAAAATAAAAAACTACATATTTATAATAACTAATATATGAATTAAATAAAAAATGCAAAAGTAATTAATATATGGTAACTTAAGAAAAAAAAAAAGTTAAAATAATTTATGGTAATTCCAAGCCTAATAGTTAGAACCAAACCTGAGCATATCAATACGAAAACACCAATTTATCTCAAATAAACTTACGAAGAACACAAGTCTGTCACTTAGGCTCAGCGCATTCGAAAATTATATATAGGGGCAATTATACATCGTGAAAAAATAATCCTAAAAAAAAATACATATTTTCCTATAATATTTTTTTTAAAAATAAAAACATTTGGATCAAGTCTTTATGAGTAAATTAACCTTTAACTAACTATACAATTTATAACAATTAGTTCTACTCATCAAATGTATTTTATGATCAGTCATAACTACCATCTCAAACAATCAACCCAACAAAGAACGAGATACTGCATTGAGAGCTATAAATGAGCCTAGCCGAGTTTGAGTTTAAGCTTGAGCTTCTAATACTTGACTTCGAATCGAACCCTTTATTGAGCCGAACTCTTAAGTTACAAGTTGATAAATATTGATCTCGAGCTCGCCTTATTAGCGAGCTAATATATGATAAAAGTTCAAAAAATTATGCATAATTACTATTTATAAAGTAAAACAAGTTGATCTGAGCCCGACTAGTTAACTAAAAGAGATCAAGTTCGATTCGTCTATAAATGCTCGGATCGAGTTTTAACGAACAAAATTGAGCTAAACTCAATAAAGACTCGTTTTGTTCAACTATTTTAGTAGTCCAATAACTACTTACCATTTTGCAATGGAAATCAAGTACTCCATAGGATCTATTTATAATTCTTTACACAGAGTGTATTGAAACATGTATTAAAATAAACAAAAATAGAATTACATATGGGTATATAAAAATCTTGCAACGGTTGGACAATAAATACTCTCCATAGGACAAAAAATTTTTTTCTCATATTAAATTATAAATTTAGAATCCTAAAAAATATATTGGACGATAAGTCATAACTCATAACTCATAAATATAAACGCGGCCCCTAGTCTTTGCCTGATGCCGCATTAATTTTAGCTCTTTTTCACTCCCGATAAATAAATTAAACGGAAATTACATTTCACCCCCAAAATTAGCATATAAAATCCCACCCACCAATCCCCTACTTTTCCAAATCCACCTCAAAATTCTCCAAAAATGTCGAAACTTATCCTCGCTCTCCTTCCCCTTTCAGCCACTCTCCTCTTACTCGCACTTGTTTCTTTCAATTCCCGCCCCACATTCCTCGAAAATTCCCCAAAGCCCCCAATCAAAATCCACGCGCTCGAGCACGCGCAGCTCGCCGCTTCTCACTGCGAGGGCACGCTGTACCCGGAGCAGTGCGTCTCCACCGTCGCCGCCGCTCTCCCGGAGCTCCGCCGCAAGACGCTACCTGAGGTCATATCTGCCACCGTCAACGCCACCGTGCGCGAGGTCCACGCGTCCGCCGACAACTGCAGCAGCATCCGCCGCAAGCTCCTCCGGCGGCTGGACGCGCGCGAGCTGCACGCCCTCGACGACTGCCTCGAGCTGTTCTCCGACACGGTGGCGGAGCTCAACCACATCCTCGCCGAGCTATCGTCGCCGTCGGCTTCGCCGGAGGACTTCTACGACGACCTGCAGACGCTCCTCAGCGGCGCCATGACCAACCAGGCCACGTGCCTCGACGGCTTCGCGTACAGCGTGAACAACACGCGCCGCCTCATCGAGGGCAGGCTGAAGAGGATTACGCGCCACGTCAGCAACGCACTCGCCATGGTGAGAAAATTGAAGAGGAAGAGCAGTAAGCGGAAGCCGAAAATTCCGGCGGCGAGTGGCGGGTTTCCGGCGTGGCTGAGGAGGTCGGATCGGAGGCTGCTGCAGGCGGCGACTAACCAGACGGCGCCGAATCTTGTGGTGGCAAAGGATGGCAGCGGGAACTTCACCACCATCGGCGAGGCACTTGCAGCGGCGCCAAATAACAGCGACTCGCGATTCGTGATTTACATAAAATCGGGGGCGTATTACGAATATATTGAAGTGGATAGGCGAAAGAGGAATATCATGTTTTTGGGGGACGGTATTGGAAAAACGCTGATTAAAGGGAACCGGAGCGTGGTGGACGGCTGGACCACCTTCCGATCTGCGACTGTTGGTTAGTTTTTCTTCCAATTAATTATTATTATTATTATTATTATTATTATTATTATTATTATTATTATTATTATTATTATCATTAAACCCTATCTAAATATATAAGTATGACATTATTAGTTAATAAGTATGCAATCTAATTTACACAAATTAGAACGCCTCACTGTTAGATTGCCTTATTCATTATCATTAACAGTATTATTATTTCAGGATATTATTGATTCAAATGTGGGCACATGCATGCATCACACTATAGTCTTAAATGCTTTAATCATATTAAATTGTGTGCATAAATTGAATTATTTGGTGAGTGAGATTTGCATAATAATTATTTTATTTGTTATATTCCTAACTATTTAGCTAATTAGAAGTGATGAGAGGCCATCTAAGTGAGACGTGTGGATTACAGTATAATGTGGGATTAGTTATTTTCTTCAACTTGGGTTTACTTTACAAGAACAAATAAGACAAAACATTTGAGGTGTGTTTACGAGTGCTTGAATCATGACTTGTAATGGTAATGGATGAGAGTAGGTGAAAAGTATATAGTACCAAAATTAAATAAACAAATAATTTTTTAAGAGAATATTACGAGTCAACCGCCTAACTAATTATATACATTATTATTAATTTGCTGCATTAAATTGTCCAATGTTACTTGCATGAATGACAATATCTTGGGACAATTAAGAAACTCTTCACACTTGCGAAATGGCCAGATGAGACAGTTCCACACACCACGTTAATCATCAATTAACAATTACTATTATTCTTCTTCGTTTGTTTTATTAATTTTCCCTTATCAGTCATCTTTAATACTGCATCTTAATTTTAAGGATTTTCATTTTTTCTCCTCTTCACAATATTGTACATAATCACACACACCAAAAAATCCATGTGCTTTAGTGCAAAATTTAACATTTATCAAGGCAAGTGAAATGGAATAGAAGTCCAGTATAATAGTGTTGACCGAGCAGCCTCTGTTGACTGTGTATTTAAGATAAAATATAGGAGTATAATTAAATTAAGAATTTAACCAAATTGCCTTTGTGGGCCTTTGTCAGCGAACATTAAGTAGCAGCACATGTGTCGGTGGATCTAAGTGGGCCTCCATTCCCAAAAGCGTGTGATGAATAAATGAACAATAGATAGTCATAGCTTGTCCCTCACTCTCCAGCTAAGATGTAAAAGAGTCCATTTGAACTCAAATTGATTTAGAGTTAATGTGAGTTATTTTGAATAAAGTTATTTAAGTGAGATGAGCAAAATTATAATTAAATAATATTTAAAATATAATAATTAAAATTGATGTGATGTAAAAATAGGAGACATATAATTGGTGTGATATTTATATATATGTAATTGATAACAATTCATTAAATAAAACCTCATAAATTTTACTTCATAAATTATACATCATAAATTATATCTATGTGGCACCTATTAAATTACACCTACATGGCACCTTTTTTTGGGGTTTCATGAAGACATAAATATTATATTTTATATTAATTGAGTAATAATTATACTTTTTATTGTATCATATAATAGTTATTATTAAAATTAATGATTATATTTTACACTAAATGATATATGAAAGATAAATAAACATAAAAAATTATATTGTAAAAATTTTTGTTTAAATTATTTATTCTAAAATCAATATTATATTGTTTTATCTGATTAAGAGATTATTTTTTAAATTAAATCATTTGTTTTAAATAGTAAAATTCCTTAAAATTGCATAAGAAATTGTTATAATAAAATAATTATATTTAGCTAATTAATTGATCATGATCCCTCAAAATTACGAAAAAATAAATTATTTATTACATTTTATGCAATCAATATCATTCGAATGCTATCAAATAATTATGTACTATTTATTTTAACCAATGACCAAATTTTAAAACATAATTCTATTATCTAACTTATAATTGTAATATTATATGCATAAATATAACTCATAATACTCTTTGTTAAAATGCAATACCATTATATAACTTATAATTTTAATATGATGTGTATACAAATAACCCATAATACTTTATTTCTATATGTGTAAATGCACATGATTAAATATTAGTGTAGTTAAAAATATGTGAGTGGAAGAATAGTAAAATAAAGTTGATATAATGTAGGAGAGAGATGATTGGTATTATTTATTTATATAATCAAGTTGATTTAGATTTTGAGTTAGAGTGAACAAAAAAAAAAAAAACAAATTCAATCAAAACTAATTTTTATAGGTAAAACTCCTTACCAATTGCTCCCTTAAATATCAGCTTGACCCTTAACGAGTCGATACTATATAAAAACTCTTATTTACCAAGCATAACGAGCATATTGAAGTCGATATTGGTTCCTTCACTGAGGGAGCCGAATATCAGCTTGTTTATCAAACAAACTGAGTTTACCACAGGCTCGTTTCATTTAACGTTACTCATAATACTTCATATCTATATCTATAAATATATTTATGTATTTATTGGTTTTATAAAAATTGATCTATTTTCGATATGTGTGATAATTGTCATAAGCTTGTATTGGGCCCATAACAACTTAAATGGACGCAACGAGGTCCAATTCATCCCCACGTGCATGGTCCAATGTTTTTGAATCACGTATTCTCGTTGATGAAACTTTTTCAACAAATTATTCCCACGAACTTATTGGGGACCAACTTTTTCTCTACCTTCATTGTTTTTTCCATAATTATATAAATTCTGCACGTCCAATTTTAATCAAAATTTCGAAACTTTCGGCCCCGATTATTTTCTCTTTCCTACCATTTTCTCCTTTATTTCACCATCATTGGACCTATTTTTGTTACAATGATTGAAAAAAATGGACAATTGGCAAAGTCATAGGTCATGGGTGACAGCTAACCTTTTTCAACAGTTTGAAGCACATTTTGTGGTAGAGATTCATGCAAAATTGTACACAACTGCATTTCATTTATGTTATCGGATTTTTTTATCGGATTTCTTCTATGAAAATGATCAGCCTTGAATAAGCTCCCGATTGAACTTGAATGGCTCAATCAACAGTACCCGACCCGACCCAAAACAAAAAACCGAGCAGAATAGTGCAATTCGATGCGGCTTGGTTCATATTTTCTTAATGTGGAAGTTTTTGGTTCGATTTGTTTTCCTACACTGCAATATGATTTGGTCATTTTTTTCATATAAGTTTTGTTTTCGGTTTAGTGCGGTTCTGCATCGAACCATACAAAATTACATAAAAATGTATAGTAAAATTGAGGCAAAACCAAGTTGAACAGTGCATTTATGTGCAGTTCGTTTGATTATTTTAGTATATAAAAAAAATTCTCATAACAAGTTGTTCGATTTTTGTGCTATTCGATTCTTGTTTCTACACTGACTCACACTGTTGCTCACTCATGATAGTATTATGTATAGTTTTCAACCATATATATATATATATATATATGTAATGTTGACGTAACAAAATACTGCGTTGCGTGCAGCTGTGGTCGGGAATGGGTTCATCGCCAGAGGCATCACGTTCGAGAACTACGCGGGCCCCGCCAAGCACCAGGCTGTGGCCCTCCGTTCGAGCGCCGACTTCTCGACCTTCTACCAGTGCAGCTTCGTGGCTTATCAGGACACACTGTACGTCCACTCCCTCCGACAATTCTACCGCGAGTGCGACGTTTACGGCACGGTCGACTTCATCTTCGGCAACGCTGCCGTCGTTTTCCAGTCGAGCAACCTCTACGCGCGTCGGCCCCTCGACAACCAACAAAACATCTTCACGGCCCAGGGCCGTGAGGACCCGAACCAGAACACCGGCATTTCGATCCTCGGCTGCAAGGTGGCGGCAGCCGCCGATCTCCTCCCCGTGTTATCTCGGTTTCGGACTTATCTCGGCCGGCCGTGGAAAAGGTATTCTCGAACGGTTTTCATGCTTTCTAAGATGGAGGAAGTCGTGAACCCGAGAGGGTGGCTCGAGTGGGACGGGGACTTCGCGCTCGACACATTGTACTATGGGGAGTATAGGAACCGTGGGCCCGGGGCGAACACGAGCGCGAGGGTGACGTGGCCGGGATATCGGGTGATCAATAGCTCCCAAGAGGCCGGGCAGTTTACGGTCGACGGTTTTATTCAGGGGAGCGAGTGGTTGCCGGTGGCCGGTGTGCCGTTTTACCCTAATTTGACAGCCACATGAGAAATTAAACTCTTATTTCTGTATTTTTGTTTTTGTTTTTTTTTTTTTTNTGGTCTCCCCAAAGGGAATCTGAATTTGGGTTGTATTGGTGTGTCCTAGACATGTGCTTAATTTGGATTTATGATGATGCTCTAATATTCAATTGCTAGCTCTGAATAATATTGCACTTTTCATAGGAAATTAATGTGAGAACATTTTAAAGTTTATTACACATCTTTTAGTGGGAAATCTTGCTTACATAATTCTGAAATACAAGGTCACTTCAATATAGACAAGAGAGCAAACAAACATGCTCTTCTTATTCACTCATACTTATGCTAAATAATGCTCTTAAAAAACTTCCTTCACCATGCATATATATACCCTCAAGTTGATCCATCAACAGCCAAAGGAACAGTTTTCACCTAACAGGCAGAAACAAAAAAAAAAAATGGTAAGAAATAAACATTTTGCTAGCTCTAAATTGTAGTTATTACGGGTTAAGGATGCGTTTGGCCGAACAAACTCACCAAGTCGCGGAATTTAAGAATGTAGAACATCTCAAGATACCGGCGAGTTTCGCGCCTCTCGAGCTTCGAGACGTGCTTCCAAAATCCATACACTCCGGCCAATGTCATCAGCCTCTCGGAGTAGATCTTCCACGTGTACCTTAATTCAATTCGGATAAATTTTCCAGACTACGATTGATATTTTTAAGTTCTGTAATATAACACAATTAAAGAGATGATACCTTTAAGTTTTTAACATATATCCATACCTTTCTTGAATTCTGCGGAGGGACGATTCGGATATTTTCTCCCAGAAGCTCGGTTCTTCGTTGCATTTCTCGAAAAAGTTTGCCATGAGGACGCTGGCCTTATCCGGATGGTATGGATCTATATGAAATCCCGATATCCCGTTTTCGATAATCTCCAGTGGGCCTCCATGACAAGTTGCAAATGTCGGTAGGCCACAGGTCATGGCCTCCACCACTGTCAGCCCAAATGCTTCATAAAAGGCAGGCTAAAAAAAGAAACCGAAAATAAATAAATAAATAAATAAATAAAAGAAGATACCAAGAATAGAATTAGAGAAGACTGCAATTTTAGTACTGTATATTTCACTATCCTAACTTTTTTTTAAGAGTTTTTTTAAGAGGAGTTGCTGTTTTGATTTCCATCCCCTTATGTTATGCTTGCAAAAAGGTCCCCGCTGAGTATACATAAGGGACGAAATTGCAATGTTTTGCAAATTCGAAGAACTAATCTATTGCGAAAATGACTTTTTCGTAACCTTATTGCAACATATACAAAAAAAGTTATGGTTGATATGTTAGAAATGGATTTAACTTTATTCAAAATAAATCGATTGATCCGAAGAGCGTTCATATCGAATAATTGAGAATCATAACCAAATAGCAAAAGCGTACCTGATGGATTCATGTGATTAATTTCTTTAGAACTCAAAAAAAAAAAAAAATTATATTTGGGATTTGAAAATCTTCCAAAAAACTGTGAACTTTATTTTTCCTTATTTTCCTTAGTTTTCTTCTCGACGCATGAAGAAAGAAATGAATTGTTTTATATAGACAATTTGGGCAATTTATGTGCAATTAATGAACCTGATGGCTTTCTTTCTCAATTGATAAGCCTCAATAAATGCACCTAATGGCTTTCTTCACACGATTTCATAATTGAAGAAAGAAAACAATATTTTATCAATGCCCATTTATTTTCACGGCTTTTGGGATTCCACCCATAAATAATTTTGACCTAAATTATATGTTATTTAGGTCCTTAAGTTAATATTATTATTTACTACGTCACCAAATAATAATATTACCGGGTGTCCATATTTAATCATTCCATAATTCAAATTAAATTCCTTAGCCAATGTACAAAATTTGATCACTTAATTTGGCTAAACAATATAATGACCCAATGTATTAATTACACATATTTAATCCCAAATAGATCTAACATGATAACATGGTTAACATACAGGACTAAAATCACAATTTTCTCATATTATTAGGTATCAATTGATCTTTAATTTAATGACCAACCGGGCAACATCTTCATTGTTATCAATCTCCGAAAAAAAGAAAACGAAAAAAAAAACTGACCTGGACGAAAATTCCTCTCTTGTCAGCTATGTAGCGGTACAACTCACCATTACGCGCACGGTTAGTCTGTGCTGATATCCACCTCAGCTGGCCATCCAACTCATACTGTTTGATCAATGCATGCATTTTCTCAATTTCGGTTATTTCTTCCCGATCGCTCGATTTCTTAACGTCAATGTAGCCAGCTACCACGACCAGGTTAGCCAGCTCCCTTAACTTGGCATTCTTGGCATACATCTCCACTAGACCTGTTATGTTCTTCACCTGGTCAAGCCTCGCCATTGAGAAGATTATGGGCTTCGACGGGTCTTTCAGAACGCCACTTTAATTACCACA